GAAGAAAGAAAGAAAGAAAGAAAGAAAGAAAGAAAGAAAGAAAGAAAGAAAAGCAGTAATAAGCCACTGGGAGATACTGGTTTTTCTGACACCTTGAAGGAGCTGCCATTAGTTGCCAAATGTTGACTAGCTGTCAACATGGGAGGGTTACGAATGAAAGATAATGACTGAATTCAAACAACACAATAACTCACACCAAAAGACTGGGTTGAGTGTGAATTGTCATTGAGCTGTTGAAATGTGGGTTATGGTGTTGTCTGGACCCAGCTGTGCTAACACACTGTGGCTTGTTAACCAGAAACACCCCATGCTGACACCCAAGCAACTCTAAAATCAACAGAACTTACAATTCAGGGGGCAAAAGCCATATTTTTTGTCTGTATCGTAGTTTCTTGTGGTTGCACACCATCGCCAGTTGTCTGACCTGCCAACAGTTGTGCACTCAGCATACCAGTTGCCATCGTACTGGAAGGGGAACACACACGGCGCCCCTTCACTGTTGCCTTTCAGGGTAAACATGTCTGTAAAGAAAGAGAACAAACCCGTTGTGTTATCCTTGGCCTGCCAGTGGGTGGGTTGACACTTCTGTACCTGGCCCAGGCCTGCAAAGGCAGGGGCCAGAGTGCAAAAGAGCCCGGAGCAAGACATTCAAACCCTGCTGCAGCCCTGAAGTGCCCCTTTCTGGTTTTGGCAAGCACCTGTCCTCCAAGGATACCTTATAGAGAAACTGGTAGACAGTTGGCAGAGCTGTGTAAGATTTTAAAACTCTTCTGGCCTATGTTAATGGTGGTCTGGAAGGTCCCCCCACCCCCTCCACACTAGCTTGAGAATGAGATTGATGGAAGGCTGCACTTGGCTAGATAGCTGGCAGTTGCAGTAGAGAAGTTTAGGGCAGGCTAAAAATCATACTTTGGTGAATCCCTGAGGCCTCTACTTTGGGTGAAGGGAGGCTTCCGTGTGCATTCGCTTTTAAGACTGGCAGGGATGGGCAACTTACGCCCCCCCTCCCCCAGATGCTGGATGCCAAGTTGCATGAGGCCCAGCCACCAGAACCAAAGGTGGGGAAAGAAGTGCGTTATAACAGAGGAGCTCCTAGAGAACCAGAGACTTGCCACAGCTGCCCTATGGCTAGAGGGCAGTGGAACGAGACCTCCATCTGGGGTGTGTCTGACTCTCCCAGTCAAAACTTGGGTAGGGTTGATAGGGTGGCGCTTCAGGGCAAGGCTCTGATCCATCGTGCCTTGAACGAAGACTGGCCGCTGGCCTTGAGCCAGTCCGCATCTCGCCCAGGAAAGGCAGGCAAGAAAGGAACGCGGCTCCTTTCTTTAGCCTGTTAGGGGGCAGCCTGGCAGAGCACCAAGGTAAATATTTGAATACTCCAACCACAACTGCACAATGAATAAATGCTGTTGCTATTCGAATCTCAACAATTGACTCTAGCTTCTTTATTACTGGACCTGGGTGCAAAGTGTTGGATCTAGAGTTAGTTGTGCTTAGAGTAAACCCAATGGAATAAATTAGACTTCAGTGAATCATGATTTCTTTTGGTTTAAGTACAGCTAAATCTGGATCCAACTCAGAAGTTCCAGAAGTTTCTGCCTAATAGGTTTAAACTTTTATATGTGGTTTCATATTCAAGTCAAGATGAACTGAATTCCTGCTGTCTTCAATATGTCTATTTGAAGCATTGAGATCTGGAGGGTACATGTGCCATTTACACAACTGGATGCTGCAGTCAGGTTATACTCTCGTATTTCCTGTAATATTGGCCTAGCAAGCCTTAGGCAGTCATCATTCCTTACGCTCCAGCAATGCTAAGAGGCATGCATCATGATTGTGTAAATATATACTCTAAAATCAACCTGTGGTTATGACCATCTCAACCCTTTTATGATAAACATGCTAAGAACTCTCAAGAAGTGCCGTTTCCTCCCATTTCTGCTCTCTCCTAAGACCTGTTTCGATGCCAGGTTTTTCCCTTCCTGGTTTTACCTGGGATAGGCGGGAGAAGTGGAAGAACTAATTTTGCTCCTGCTTCCCTGGACAATGACATTCATTTGGACATCGGGTCTTCCTGAGCTAGCCAGATAAGATTGTTCTAACCTGATCCCACATCCAAACAGGATATCCCCCTGTAGTAAGGAAAGAAGGGAGGGACAGCAGCATTCAAGCGAAAGGGTCACTCCTGATTTCTTAAAACACTAGTTGAAGCAGGATTTTAGTATCGGGCCTCATATCCTTCCACATCATATGGCCATTTAAATACAGTTCCCCACTGCACACTCCAAATATACTCTGGAAGGGTTGGGGTTTTCTAGGGAAGAATTTGGGTTTTTCAGGAAGAGGAATATGAGGAAGAAGAGAAAACCATAGCATGCAAGCACCCAAAGAACCAAAGGGACCCTTGGAGTCACCAACAGCTCACTTGGTAAAATGAGAAGTACTCTATTTGTATTTAAGTTATAGCAATCATACCTAAGTTTGCATCTGTGCAGATGAAATAACTTACACAAATTGTATATAAACCTATGACTCCTTTTTTATTCAGTTTTGGAGGTGCGGGTCATCTGAAAATGGCTACCCCTCTATCCATAACATGTAGCACTGAATCCAGGCCCGGTCACTTGTACGGCGTACTTCTTGGAATCAATGGGAATTTGGTTAGTGTTGAGTATAAATGTAACCCCACATGTGAATGTAGAAATTTGGATCTGCATTACAGCTTTTTTAAAAGAGAGATTTCATAAAATTGGGTTTATATGCACAAATGGATGTTTACATACTGAATCAGTTTCATGGTAGATGCTATCTAACACTCACGCAATGACCCTTCCCCAAACTACTGCCTTCCAAATGTCTTGGACTTTAATTCCCATCAACCCTGGCCAGTCTGCCAATGGAAAAAGATGGTGGGAGTTGTAGTCTCTGCAGATCCTCAGGTTGGGTACTTCTGCTCTAGTTGTTGATTATGCCAACAGAGATGTACATATAGACTGACCTTTTTCTATACATCTTCATCTAATGTTTGTTTCATTTATATACTGCCCAATAGCCGAGGCTCTCTCCTCTCAGGTGATACAAAGAACTGAGCTGGCCCATAGTCAATGACTTGGCAAATTAAGTTGTCAGTAACATGATTAAAGAGAGACATTCACAAAGAATTTACCTTCATAGCCACGGGAGCAGAGATCGTCTTTGGTTCCATAGACCTTCCAGCGACTCCATGCACCTGAGCCATGGTACAGCATAATTCTTTTTTCATTTCTGTTGCCATAGTTGAAATATAGATCAGTTCCTTGGATGGCAAAAAGTGTATCATTTCTGCATTCCCATTGCTGGAGGGCACTGGTCGTGTCACATGGATACAGAGTCACGGGTGTCCAGCTGACCTTTGTAGACACTCCAAGGCATAACTTCAAAGAAACACTTATCAGCTGATGTTCAGATATCCATCTGAATTTTTGTGCCACGTTCTTGTAGTTGCAGGGGCTACTAGTGACATAGTTTGATGTCTGAGCTTCTACACACAACTTGTGGTCTTGATTATATATTAAAAAGACGCTTGTATCTATATTAGAAAAAGTAAGGGGAATGTAAACAAGGGCAAAGGAACTGGTTAAAAAAAACTGTGCATGCTGAATCAGACATGAAGAAAAGTTACTTGCACCTGTACAGGTTTTGAAATAATCTTCAGAGGCTGTCCTTACCGGTCTGCCACCAGGATCCATAAGCATGGCAGGCATGAGAAACAGGGCCTTCTCAGTGGTGAACCCCACCCTGTGAATTGCTCTGCTAAGGAACACAGAGTTGCCTCTTCCTTTTGCTATTTTTAAAGGATTTACAGCTTACAAACATATTTGTGCTTCTCGAGCTCTTAGATGAAAAAGCTGTATGGTGTTTGCTGCAATTAGATATCTGACATTTAAGTATACATTAAAAGGTGCTTAAATTTAAACTGCTTTTATAACATGATGTTTAATTTTACTATAAACTGCCTTGAGAAGGCTACAGTCTTGAAAGATGGCCAATAAATTTATTAAAGAAATAAACTCTTGGTCCAACCATGCGCATGTGCAAAAAGGGCAAATAAAATATTGCCATTCAACCATGTTTCCAAAATATGTGTAGAAGCAGGTCTGAAAGTGCTTAGACAAGGAAAACAGACTGAATATGACCCTGTCAAAGTTTAACAGGACTGCCTGAAATACCAAATTAAACATGTGGTCAACAGCTAACAATTACAGGTTAGCAAAGTGTAACCTGCCATTGTCACTAATTCCAATGAAGACTGCGCCAGCAACACCATCTTCAGGGCAAAGTGGGAAAAATACTTTGACCCCTTGAAACAGGGTAAATCAGCACCTTCATGAGCAGAATATTTGCATGCCCTAAACAAATATAAAGATTGCCTTGCCACGTGCATGGGATACTTTCTTTCCCTTTTTTTTCAAAGAGAAGATGCCTTATAGCAGGGACTAGCAACTTGTGGGGAACAAATGTTTTGGCTTCTAGCTCCTATCAGGCCTGGCCAGAAGAGTCAATGGTGAATGATGATGGTAGCTGTGGACCAAAACATCTGGAGAGCTAATAGTTGTCTAACCCTGTCTTCGAGTGAGAGATGATGATGATGATGATGATGATGATGATGATGATGATTGTGCTTCTATCCCACCTGTTTTCCTCTTGTGAGGAACCCAAGGTGACTTACAGGGTTCTATTTTATCCTCAGAACAACAACCCTATAAGGTAGACTAAGCTAAAAATGAGTGACTAGCCCAAAGTCACCCAGTGAGCTTCCAAGTGCGGGCTAGAACCCGGATTTCGCAGGTCCCCACACACACACACCTCAATGGGTATCTAGCAAACTATTTCCTACACCAAAGGCAAGCTGACCTCAGGTTGGCAGGATCTATTTTTATGTTTTTCCTACAGTTCCTTTGGTGCACCAGCTCAAACCACATGCAAACTAATGAGGGGATATCTGGGTGCAAAACGGTGGTTCAGTGAGAGCCAGTTAGCTGTGTCACATTCCATGAGGAGTAACTTTCATGTACGGTGCAACTACATTCGGGTGCTGAAGATCAGGGATTCTGTTACAGAAGATTAAAACTGTCCACTAAAACTGCACGAAGAGCCATTCAAAACCACCTAATTTATATTCTACTAATGAGGCAAAAGGCTCTTAAACAGCTTGGAGGGAGAAGCCTTTGCCAGCCTCCTGCAAATCAAAGCAGCTGTACCAGTAGATCAATCTGTCTACTCCCCACACTTGGTTTATGACAAAGGGTAGTAAGTTTCTGCAGGGTTTCTCCTGTGAGGTTAATTCCCATTCCCTGCAAATGAAGATAGTCTTAATCTGAACTACATCTGTCTGTCATATATGCATGACTCCACACAAAATAGTACTGCATTTTATGTTTGTTGCGGAGGAGCAACTGGTAGCTCATGTGCAGAAGGATAAAGTGGAAATTAAAGTTCTCCTGCTTCAGTTGAAAAGCTGACCTAGACTTATCTCATCCACAAACTGGTTTCCTCCTCTTGTCCTCCTTGGCTTCCAACCCTTTAGGAAGCAGCAGAAAGTTGATGAGTACTGGAGACACAAATTCTTGCTGTTTCCCAGTCAGTTTTCCTTACTGACAATACAAGGAAATGTACAATTATCATCAGTGGTGATAAAGTGTTGTATAACATTGTTGTACCAACAATTTAACCAGATCTATGTAAACTAAGGCATGCCATGTTTGCAATGTTTCTAATTTTATGGTATGCATAAGACTAGGTTAAAAAAGCAAAACAACTACTCAAAATAGTATAAATAAATTAACGGTGCAACTTGCTAAACCAGGAGTAAGCAGATCTGGATCTACTGGTGGATGTCTAGATTATGTCTAGTGGATCATCAGGATTTCTGATTTCCAACTGTTTGACAACAGCAGCAACAAAATCACTGTCCTCCCACCTGAATTACACTGGTAATATACAGAAAGCCTGAAGTAACCCAGGAGCAAATGTGGCTGTACAAGATTTGGGACCTCCATCCAGTTCTGGTACACAAAACCAATTCCTTCTGCACCAGGCTCTGCCTGTTGGGTTTCAAGGTTCTAGATCCTGTCAACTTGAAGTGTCTACTCAAGGGTAAGTCTCATTCAGTTCAATGAGTTTTACTCCCAAATAAGTGGGTTTAGGATTATAGGCCAAAGCATTTCCCCAATTGCACTAACCTTGCCAACAGAAAAGAATACCAACTTTCATTCTTTCTTCCAGGGGAAAAATGTTTGATGATAAAGTTTTGATATTCTCCAAAGCAAACTTTCAAGTGTACTTCCTACTATATGGAGTTCAGAATTTTACCTACAACCAGCATGCTACCTTTGCTTTTTGTGAGATTTGGAGAATACTGAATTCAGTTGCTCTTTTCTAGGAGCCTACATGGGGGGAAGAGGGTTTCCACCAGGACTTGAGACTTAATTCTCTGAAGGATCATCCTCTCTGAATATAAAGCTAGCCACCTTTGCTCCAGCTGCCTGATTTTTCTGTATGGTCCACGGCAAAAAGAGTCAGTGTGGTAGAGCGGTTAAATCTACAGGGCTGGGAATTGGGAGATCTCACTTCTAGTCAGCGCTCAGCCTGGAAACATTGGGTGACTTTGGGCAGGGCTCAGACCTTCAGTCTCACAGGTCTGTTGTTCTGAGGATAAGATGGAGAGGAGGAGGAGGAAACTTATGTAAACCACCTTGAGTTCCTCAAAGGGGAAAAAGGTGAGCTATAAATATAATGAATAAAAAGACTAAAAGGTCCATTCAGTCCAACACTCCATCCACACGGTGGGAAACCAGCTGCCCACAGGGTCGCTTGGCAGGATGGGTGCATGGTCTCCACCTGTTCCTCAGCCTGGTGCATCCAAGTGCACCACTTCTGGTAAAGGAGGTAGTCCCTAGCCACTGATAACTTCCTCCTTATATGCTTTGCCTACAATGGAGAACACTTTTACGAGGGATCACTATTTCTCCTTTTCTTCATCCCAGCCTCCTGTGCCTTTTAGATGTTTTCTGAGGGGCCTTAACATAATTAAAATTCCTAGCTTTGAGGCTGGAGGCAGCACTCCGACACCACCACCCCTCACACTCTGCATCTTAATAGGATTGCACCCTAAACGAAATATTTGCCGACCCCCCCTTCCCTGTTTCATCTTGGGACCTTGCACATGCAGAAAATGCTACCATTCCATCAGCTCCATTCTTCCCTCTCTGTCCTGCTTCACAGCTGTTTTAGAATGCAGGTCGTGGTGAGGGAGACATGGAGTTTTTAAAATAATTGTTGTGCTTAAGTGCACAGTTCTACAAAGATGGGGGTAAGCCCCCAAATTTGGAGGCTTCTTTCCTTTCTTGTTTCTTTTTCTTTTCAGAGATCGCTTTTTCAATTTTTGAAGTGACAAGCAGTGACAGCCCTTTCAAAGTGACCAAGTGGTACATTGGAGGAGATATCATTAGTTCACCACCTGGAAGGAAGGACGGAAGGGAACTGTCAGAAATGTGTAAACATTTCATAATTAGTTCAGCAGTTCAGAGTTGCCAGAGGTGCGATTCTGACAATCCTACATGTGCAGCCTTGCCTACTCAATATCCTTATAAATGCTGGCTGTCAAAGCAAGCCCCGTACATGAACATGGAGAGAGCTGGACTTCAAATGCATTGCTTTCACTTGACAGCCGTCAGCTTTCAGGTGGCAAACTGAGAAGTATATAGCAAAGCTTCAGGAATATTTTGTTTGTAAAAAGAGTAGCAACTACATCACCCCCTTCACAGTAAGTTCATCTAGGTTTTAAATTTGGATCTGACTTTTTCTCTGCTGCCTGTCTTTTCTACCCTTTCCAAAGCCTCTTGGTGCTCAGGAAAGTGCCATGTGCAGCCCACCCCATCTACAGGACTTTTGAAAGGCTACCTGCTGTCTTTTTCTTTGACAGGGACATATGCAGCTTTCATGGCTACATAGGGCTGCAAAAACAACTTTTTCACGCATTAAAAACCATGTTTTAAAAGAAGCCCTTACTTTTGATAGCTGTCAAAAGTAACTGTGCCCATGGAAGAATAGCACTGGCTAAAACGAATATATTACCAAAGCTGTTGTTTTTATTTCAAATGATTCCCATAAAAATTGATAGAAAGTTTTTTGATGATTTAAATTTTCAAATTTCAAGATTTATATGGAGAAAGACGAAACCAAGGATTAAACTAAAAATACTTCAGGAGGCTAAAGAGAATGGGGGCTTTGGTCTCCCTGATTGGATGCTGTATTATCAAGCTTCTGCCTTAAGGTGGGTAAAAGAATGGATAAATAAGAGAATCTCGTAACTTGAAGGGCATGATTTGCAAATGGGCTGGCATGCTTATACATGGTATGAAAAGCCTAAGCTACATGGCTCTTTTTTAAGCCACTATATTAGAAAATCATTAATGTCAGTGTGGGAAAAGTTAAAGGCAAAATTGTATAATAAATTGCCAAGATGGCTTTCACTTATGGAAGCTTTTGTATATCTAAATGCATTGAATTTTGAAGGGATCATAAGATATGATGACATTCTGGATAAGGATGGAGAATTGAAATTGAATCAAGAAACACAAGAACAGGGATCTAATATCTCTTGGTGGCATAAGGTGCAGATACAATCAAGATATGCTAAAGACTATAAAATGTGGGGCTTTTACAAGGACTTAACAGCATTTGATCAAGTGATGCTTAAATCAGATGAGCAAATGATTAAAAGACTATATAATTTCTTACTCAATAGGAGAATGGAAGATGAACAGGTTAAGGAAACTATGATAACGTGGGCAAAAAACTTTGGATATAATATTGAATTAGAAAAATGGCAAAAGCTGTGGGAGAGAAATATTAAGGTAACATTAGCAACTTCGTACAAAGAAAACCTGTATAAAATGTTTTATAGATGGTATCTGTCACCAAATAGATTAGCTAAGATGTTTCCAAATATGTCAAATCGATGTTGGAAATGTAAACATAAATTGGGTACTTTCTATCATATGTGGTGGACTTGCGATAACGCGAAAAAGTATTGGATTAAAATACATAAATGGCTTGAGGAAATGTTACAAAAACCTTTAGCTTTTAAACCTGAAGTCTTCTTGTTAGGCATTATACCTGTTGATATTAGTAAACAAGAAATGTATTTGATTTTACATGTAATTACTGAGGCGAGGATTGCATTTGCTCAACACTGGAAAAGTGAAGAACCACCCATCGACGGATTGATTCTAAAAAAGATCTTGGACTGCACAGAAATGGATAGATTGACTTTATCATTGAAGGAGAAAGAAGATACTGACTTCTGTCAAACTTGGGACTCTTTTTATTATTGGCTAGAGAAACGGGATTTCGTATTGATTTAAATATGTTTTTAAGTTATCATAAATGAAAAAAAAATGTGGGGGCTGACCCAGCAGGCCTGATGTTTTTGATGATTGATGTTGTTTTTAGTTTTTCTTTGTTTTTAGGATCATAATTTTGAATAAAACCTATTATAAAAAAAAGTAACTGCGCCCATAAATGTTGGTTCTGTTGCCACGTCCCCTGGGATTCACGTGGGAAGACTGAGGGGGTAGAGAGAGAATAGACAGCCTGCGTTGGGCTCTTTTCTCTGCTGAGTGCATCATGGGTTGTTCACAAAACAGCCAACCCTTTGTGGCTTATTGCTGGGATGGGCTGTCATGATTTGGAATGCTCCAGATGCATGTTGAGATCCAGTAATCACTGCTGCGGTTGAGGCTGTGCTTTTGACAGTGGTGGCCGCCATCACACACAAAACTTTGCCCGTTGGCATACTGTGCTTGGAATTCTTTTTCCAGACTCACAATAATTCACACAGGCATTCATTTATTTCAACAGCCAAAGCTGTCTGGGAGGTTCACAAAAATTAAACACTGCAAAACTCTGTTGCATGCAGAGTCCAGTGCATGCTGACAACCTTCACACATCTATTCCCAAGAAAAGCTCTTGTTTTGCCTTTTTCCTCCAGGTCTCTTTTTGTTTGACTCCAAGAGCTCATTCTCCATTTTAGTGGCCAGGAGAGGGAAAGCAACTAAGTTAAAACTGGGTCACTGTGAAGACTTTTATGCTGTGCCCACTATTTAACAGCAACTTTGAGCTGTGAAAGCAGCTGCATCGGTGTCTCTTTCTGGGCACTCCTGAGCTCCAGGTAAATCACCTAAATTCCAGGTCTCATGCATGGAATATATATGTTGAGGTTCTATGCAGAAGAGCCTATCAGCATAAGTTGGAAGTAAGACCAGCTATGTCATCTCCGTTCCTCTTCCACCCATTAATCTTGCACAGGATGAATCAACAATGTGCTGTTTGGTTCATTTTGCTTTGTTGTGGCTTATTTTCCAATCAAAAGTAAATGAGAAAACCAAGAGACTACAATGAACAGGAAATATCCTCAACCAAACAGAACATGTAGAAAAGATGCTATACTAACAAACAAGTACCCCTGCATTAGATTTAGCACTCCGTAAAATGATGGCAAAAATACAACAACGTCCCTACAGTTTTTATATTGTGACTCTGAAGGAAGACACACACGTTTAAACAAAAGATGTTGCATCTCTGCCATGTACACAGTTCTGAATTCTGCAAAGATTTCATGCTGCCCGATGCAGAAGTTCTGTTTAGTACAGTTGGGTTTACTCTGGAATAAATAGGTGTAGAATTGTAGCCTTAGCACTTTCAAACTAATCGCATAAGGAATAAACTGTTCTTGCCTTCAAAGCAAGAACAAGGGAGAACTATGGAGTTGTAGAAAAAATCATTTCTTTATCCCCAGTGCCAACAGTTATAAATTTAATCGCAGTACAGCTGTCTCCTGTTAGTAAACATCTTCCACTTTATAGCTAGGTAAAATACATTATGGATAGGCACTGAAGGCATGCTGCATTTAAAGCAGGAGCAGAGTACACCCAAACTATTTCTAATTTTCATAGAATCATTCAGATACAATTATGCACATTGAAACTCACAGAGTTAAACATCCGGCAGGCAAGAACACCGAGCTACTGAAAACCCAGCAGGGCTTTTCAGACAGACAGTGCAATGGTAACAACATTCAGCAACATTCTAATCCTGCTATGATTCAGTTCATGACGCTAAACAGCAATCTGAATGCCTGAATACCTCTGTGATCGCGGTGCCATTTGAAACAACACAGCCCCATTCTTGGCACAAGATCCGAGGTGGACTTACCCACTACTGAAAAGGCGCCATGAAGAGATGAAAATAAAATCAGGAGCAAAGGAAGCATCATTGTGAGTGGTGGGCTACTTCTCCGGCCTTCCCCCAGAATATACCATGCACGGGCCTCTTTTTGTAAGGTGTCCTGTTGAGACCAGTAAGGAAGAAAGTCTTGCTCATTTCTGAGAACTGATAGTTCAGGGAGTGCTTTCTGGTTGTCCAGTGATAAGGAAATGCCGGCCACAGGGTGCATTTTGAAATAACAGGAATTCACAGTTCAGACTCTGCTTTCCTCAGCTAATTTCACTGCTGGAGGAAAAAGGAAGGAAAAGCTTCCACAGAGCTGCAGGTGATAAAGTGATGAGTATTCAGCAGATTTTATTTTATATTTGCTGGGAATTCTTCCCATGAATGTAGGAAACAGAACAGTTGTTCAGTGGTTTCCAATCAGATTTTTTTGGCAAACACGGGTAAATTAAGGAAGACAGCAATTGTTACTGTATAATCAGGAGTCAAAATTTAAATGCAATGTAAACAATACCATACCATATACCATATTTTGCAAGTGCAAGATAGAAGAGCCATTTCTTAGATCAGTTTCTTCCAATCTGATGCCTTCCAGATGTGTCAAACTACAACTCCTGATGATGATGCTGAAAGTTGGGGTCTAACACATCTGGGGGGCACCAAGTTGAGGAAGGCTGCCTCCAGATGAGACTGTAGTGGGTTCTCTGGTGGGAGACCTGTTTGAACTGAATGGGGCCTAAGTAGAGGTCATGACTAGTCCTTTCCCTCCTTTCTCCTGGTTCCATAAAACTCAAGATATCCCTTTGAAATACAGTTCAATACTTTTAACTCCACATGTGAAAAACAGCCTTCTCCCAAGGGTGGAGGAGAATCCTCTGCTCATGTAAGAGTTGAATCCCAACTGGAAACATCCCTGCAGTCCCTCCCTTTCAGGAAGGCTGCTGGCTTCACCCTTCTGGGAGACTCACCCTTGAAAAGTTTGACAGCAAGAGTGACCAAGCCCCTCCTTCTGAGCAGTTCCTCTCTCTGGACACCTCCTCAATGGGTCAAAGACCAAGCCCTACATCTGCTCCTGCTCCCTTCCTGAACACCCTTCCGTCTCTTTCAAGACAGACGGACTCTCACGCTCAGTGCGAGCATCCTCACTAAGTAGCTTTGAAGGCGCTTCAGAGGTGCAGCCCCCGCTTGCTCCTGCCCTTCCTCCTCCTCCATTTCCGAGGCTGATGATTCTCACTGCACAGCCTGCAATGAGCAAGAGACTGGCTGAGTCTCCACCATAGACATATATAAGGTTGTCCTGGGAAAGTAATGGCATGACCTAATTTTACGACGAGGACGATTTTGTTGTCACTGTATGCTCAGTAGGTTGAACTGATAGGCTTTCTATGGCCACCTTACTGCTCCTACCAAAAAGAAATGAAACTCCGGTTTCTAAAAACTGAAAAACATATGCGACTGATCTGGCTACTGCAATAGTTGGACCTTAGTTTCCATTGCATCCATGGACAGCAAACAGCTTTGGTCATCCTGCTCGATGATCTACACGAGCAACTGAAAAAAGGAACTTTTCCTGATTATTCTGCTCAGTCTCTCAATGTCAAGTTCACACATCACTAGAAGCCATGGTGAATTGTTGGTTTGTTATGTTGTCAAAACCCAGTCGCACATTTTTTTATTTATTTACTTAAAGTGTTTATATGCCGTCCAATACTAAGAGTCCCCGATGGCTTATGAAAAAAAATTCAGTACAGTATATATATTTCCCTGAAACTACAGAGTTTCAATGGTTTGTTCCAAAATTTCCATGCTTCTCCATGACTTCTTTCGACAGCTGGACCCAGAAACTCTATTTGCCCCTCAGTGGTGAGGAAACACCATAGAGTCTCACAGAAAGAACAAGGGGTTGCCCTTGGCATCTGAGCTCTACTACCCACAATTCCCTAGCAACACATACATATCATCACTGCCTTTGTTCCTATTGGCAGAATGATGTGCCTGTCATCCTGTTCACTCCCTGAAACAGGGAATGCATGGATGGAGAAAGGGGAAATCATGCCAACAGTGTTTGTTTTAATTAAAAATACCTATGCAGTGGATGTGTTACCAAGGCATTGAATCAAATCCAGGTGGGGTGAGAATTAAATTGTCCTAGCCAACAGAGTAATTTACATTGTATTATAATCTTAGTTGTCAGGGTCTAAGGAGTGATTTGTACCTGTGAGTTCTCAGTGAAGCTGGACTCAAGGATGCCAGGATAGGAACCGGGACCTGTCAGTCCTGTACAATAAGGGTGTGATGGCTGATGGCTGGAAGCTGCCACCTTGGTGTGGAAGATTGACATCACTCCATAGATCAGTCAAGCTGGAAGGGGGATAAAGGATCTGGGGATTGAGAGGGTCTTTGTCATTCCTCTGAAGACAGGATCTTTTGCTCCCTAGCCAAAAAGCTAGACTCTGCATGGAGCAGTCTTATTTATTTATTTTATTTATTAAAACATTTCTATGCTGCCCCTTGCCGAAGCCTCGGGGCGGCTCACAGCATAAAATAAAACACAATAAAATACAAAAATAACAATATAAAATTAACAATATAAAATAAATAACAATATAAAAGAAGTCGCCCTGGCCAGATAAATAAGCAAATATTGTTAACAATTAAAATGACGTTTAAATAAAAAGGTCTTCACCTGGTGCCGAAAAACAAATAACGACGGCGCCAGGCAGACCTCTCTGGGGAGCGCATTCCATAGATTGGGCGCCACCGCAGAGAAAGCCCTCCTCCAAGTACTCACCCTCCTAATTTCCTTCACGGAGGGTTCCCGGAGAAGGGCCTCTCCCGCAGATCTCAAGGGGCGGCCGGGCAAATATGGATGTAAGCGCTCCTTCAGGTAACTAGGACCCAAGCCATTTAGGGCTTTATAGGTCATCACCAACACCTTGAATTGGGCCTGGACTTCAATGGGAAGCCAGTGAAGCTGACGGAGGACTGGAGTCATGTGAACATAACGCCCAGTCCCCGTCAGCAGCCTGGCAGCTCTATTTTGAACCAACTGAAGTATCCGGACCGTCTTCAAGGGCAGCCCCACGTAATGTGCGTTACAGAAGTCAAGGCGGGAAGTCACCAGCGCGTGTGTCACCGTCGCCAGGCAGTCGTAATTCAGGTAGGGGCGCAGCTGATTAATCAGCCGAAGCTGGAGGAAAGCGCTCCTCGCCGCCGCTGTCACCTGAGCTTCCAATGAAAGCTCTGGGTCGAGGAGCACTCCTAAGCTACGGACCTTGTCCCTAAGAGGGAGTGCAACCCCATTCAGGACCAGGTCAAATCCACCCTCTCCAAAGCCCGATCCGCCAACCAACAGGACCTCCATCTTGTCTGGATTGAGCTTCAGTTTATTGGCCCTCATCCAGCCCATTACCTCGGCCAGGCACTGGTTCAGTACAGCCACTGCCTCACCTGGATTGGTGGAAAACGAGAGGTAGAGCTGGGTATCATCAGCGTACTGATGATTCCGCAGCCCACACCTCCTGATGACTTCTCCCAGCAGTTTCATGTAGATGTTAAACAGCAAAGGGGACAAAATGGACCCCTGCGGTACTCCATGGCATAGCTGCCATGGCGCAGAGCCATAGTCCCCCAGCACCACCTTCTGGAATCAGCCGTTGAGATAGGAGCGGAACCACCACAAAGCAGTGCCTCCGACCCCCAATCCCGCTAGCCTATCCAGAAGGATACCATGGTCGATGGTATCGAAAGCTGCTGAGAGGTCCAGGAGAACCAACAGGGACGCACTCCCCCTGTTCTTCTCCCTGCACAGGTCATCGTACAGGGCGACCAAGGCAGATTCAGTACCGTGCCCGGGTCTGAAGCCGGACTGAAATGGGTCTAGATAATCAGTTTCATCCAAGAGTGCTTGGAGTTGTCCCACCACCACCCGCTCTAACACCTTGCCCAGAAACGGGATGTTGGCCACAGGTCTATAGTTAGTGGCCATCTCTGGATCCAGTGACGCTTTCTTCAGGACCGGTCGGACTACCACCTCCTTTAAAGGGGCAGGCACCCGACCCTCCCTCAGAGCAGCGTTAACCACTTCCAAGATCCAGGTCCCAATCCCGTGCTTGGAATTATTTATTAACCAAGGCGGGCAAGGGTCCAATAGGAAAGTGGTGGGATGTACTCGTCCAAGCATTTTGTCCACATCATCGGGCCGCAATAACTGAAATTCATCCAGCTATTTTGGACCAGACGGTAGCATTGGTGTCTTCCTTGAAACTTCTGATTCATTAGTGGAGTCCAGCTCGTGACGAATCTGAGTGATTTTCTCCCTGAAATGCCTGGCAAAGTCGTCACAGCGGGCCTTTGAGGGTGGAACCGGATCTTCCTTAGGACCCGGGCGAACCAGGCCTTGCACCACTTGAAAAAGCTCCGCCGGATGGCATTGTGAGGAGGCAATGGAAGCGGAAAAAAACTTCTTTCAGTCTGCTGTGAGGAGCTAGGGCTAGCTTTCCTGTTTTCTTTGTTCTGTGGGACAGCAAGGGTTGGTGGGCCCAAGGAGTGGGGCTTACTCTGTGCCAGATCTGTACCAACTTGCCACTATCCACTTCCCTTTTCTCCTTTCCTTTGTAAAACCCTTTCACATCCTTTCCCTCTTATTTCTGAAAATGCACTACTTTTTTATTGAATTACTGCATGAGTGAGCCGTGCTAACGCTGGTATCTTGACCACAGGCTTGGGCAAGAAGCTTGTGGTTGGCAACCGCTGGCAAGGAGAGGCACAGCGGGGAGCCTCCTCTAGTGTCACAGGCTAGGAGGAGAAAGAGGGAAAACAAAATTCGAAAGCTCAGTGGACCAGTCAGGAAGAGGTGGCTGAGCCCCATAGAGAGCAATGCAATGCAGAAGAGGATTTTGCTTGTGCGAGCTACTGAGATGCATGGCGAAAGCAAGTGGATGGAGCATGGAGTGTGGAAACCACATAGCAATGGGAACCCTGTTTCCATCCATGTGCTGTGGAAACAGTGTGATTTTGCTAGCCATGACATACAAACCTAGCCAATGGTTTTTGTTACTGTGGACTGTGATATCATCCTTGAGACCCTTGTTCCATGATGGTTCATGTCCTTCCCACATAGTAGTTTCCACCTGTTGGGAATCCCTTGGGGTGAAGGGTTTTGAGGGATTCCAGTTGTTGGCGATTACATGAGGAGCTAGCTGAAACTGGGGGTCAGACTAGACGGGCCAGGAGCCATCTATTTTTTTCTATGTTTCTATGGGTACGCTACCCATAGCACTAAAGAAATCTCTGAAGAAGATTGTCCGCAGGTTTAGAAATCAGCACCATCAATATGCCTGTGATACTGAGCTCTCCCTTTTCCACCTGCTGAATTAAGATAACATCTGGGATGCAGAAGCTCAGGGTTCCCCAGACAGCTGTACCCTTTTCCCCTTCCCCTTCCCAATGATCACTGAACATTTGTGGCTTTCTGCCATTTGGGCAGCCCCCTTCTCTTTCCAAAGGCAGAAATGCCTCTCTAAGGATTCATTGCTTTAAGCTTACATATGCTGGTATTATTGGCTACTGGTCTTGACAGTATTTGGCCACCAAGAGCTTTTCCAAAGTGGAATTAAACTTTTGAGTTGAAAGAGGTTCACCACCCTGGCATTACTGGAATCACCTAAGAAGATGGGATACTGGAGGAACTGATGTTGATTGACTTGATCTGAAATAATTTTTGCAATGATGTTCTCAGCTCAAAAGCCAGTTGGTAGCATTTCAAGACTTAAACTGAGACTTGGGAAATCCAAATTCTAGTTTCCACTCAGCCATGAAACTTACTTTTTGCCAGTCACTGACTCTCACCCTAACCTACCTCAAAGGGTTGTTGTAAGGATAAAAATGGAGAGGAGGAAGATTATGAAAGCCAGGATAAAAGGTGGGAAATAAGAGTGGGATATAAATATGATGGAATATAATAATAAGTAAAAATAAATTAACTAACATTTAAAATGCATATTATAGGATAACATGCACTTAGAAATAGTTACCATGAGCAAAAATATGTAAGTGTACATTTTGTGCTAAAGTATATTCAAAAATGCAAACTAACTTTTACTTGTGTCCTTTAAACAAGAAGAAATGAAGCAGAGCTTAATGTGGAAGCAACTTAAAAATGAACACCTGTGATCCTGCCCTCCTAAGAAAGGCAGAAACACAGAACACAGAAACAGAGCAAGTCAGAAGGGGCCTCCCAGGCCATCTCATTTGACCTCTGGCTCCAGCCCACTCCATTAATGACATGCCTACCAAGAAGATAGTTCAGAAACTTTAGTTAGTCCAAAATGCAACTAGTGCAAGTAAGCAGTAATTCATGGCAATAAACAATACCTACGCAGAGCAAGCACATTTCATCTATGCTAAGAGGTCTCTACTAGCTCCCAGTTTGTTTCCAAGTATATCCATGTTCTGGAGGCCTTGTTGTTTGATGTTGCTGGAATCTGCAGCCAGGTGCTTAGGCAAATACTGATCTTGCTCAGCTGTTGCTAAGAGCTCCTGTCAGGGCTGTTTAACCTCATCCATTCCGAGGGCCACATTCCATTGCAGAGTTGCAACAGGGGCAGATTCCAAAACACCAAAAATATAATTATGTTGTCATTTAATGCTGTTACTGCCAAAATCCCATCCTTGGGAGAGGCATTTTCAGTTTTTAGAAAGGTGGAAAAGCTGCAGAAAAGCCAAGAAACCACCAAAGAATCAAAGATGGCAGAAAAGCACGTGGGACCGTTTGAGGGAAAAATTTTCCCCTGACATTCTGCTCTCCGGCTTATATCATGTTGCTTAAGTGGATCCTGCTTTTAATTGCTATTTGGATTATAACGCTTGGCAATATGCAGGCTTTATGGAGCCATTTTCAGTCTGGCTAGACATTTTCATAAAGAAATGATTCAAAATAGCCTGGATGCTGAAGTGAGGGATTCTTTTCATGATATGTAAAGAATTTTATTTTTTGTCGTGTATTGAGGTAAACATGTACAGTGGTGTAAGCACTATTTTAAACTTTATGTTTCCTGTGCCAGTGACACGGTTGACAGGAACAGAAAAAGCTCTTGTCCTTCATGGAAGATACGGCTGTCTCCTTCCCTAAGCTAAACCAGCCAAAGCTATTGTTTCACATAAATTATAATGTACATATATTTGCCTTTGTATGTAAGAGTTCTGAACTTTAAGCAGTTTGAACAGAATGCATATCAAGACAATAACAATACAGTTTTAATGCAGGATGCCCAGCCCCTACCCAAGCACTTAAACTCCTTCCAAGAAAACCTATAAAACTGCCCATGGTTCACTTACCTTTATTTTAGAGAAAGAAGCTTGTCTAGCATGGGCCAGTGAATTTGAATTATGTACGCAAGTATTTGAATTATGTACCACAATGTACACTCACTTTGGAAAGGAGAAAGGCGGGTCAGTATTCCTCAGTATTCCAAGAGGAGCAATTTTATCATTTAACCAGCCTTTGGTTGTGTGGGGATAGTGTCAATTTTCCCTGCCAAGCCTCTTGTTTTCCAAATTCCCCCTTGTGTATTGGGGCCTAAAAAGAAGAAAAGCATCATTATGATCTATAAGGAATGGAATGCAGGAGAAAATAAATATAAAATGTAGTTTAGTTTGGTTGCATACAGGTAATTTATCCTGGTCTCTGTCCACTTCAAGGCAGGAAAAACATAAAGAAGCATAAATGAATTGTGTTAATCTAAATACAAATAAAGACCCATTCAACTTAGAAATGTATAAAGAAGAAAACAATATCAGTATCTCATTTATAGAAAAAAATCATAATGAAATATATTTTATGCTAGATTGCATACTGCATTGGATCCAGACTTTGTCATACTTAGAATAAACCAACTGAAATCAGTGGGATCCAACCCAAAGTTTTCTGCTTTAGAGTGGCCATGAATAAATTCATTGTAAGAGTGGAAAATATTCCATATCAGCCTCACTAATCTGAATATAGAAATAGCTGAGAAATATGTTTTCCAGGATAGTGCCAAGAAATTCCAAATGAAAATAAATTGGAAGAGTCAAACCGTTTGTTATGTTTAGCAAAGATTCTATGACCTTTGCTGAATCTCACATAAGAAATACTAATGTATAATGAATTTACATAACTTCTTGGCCATCAATGAGTTTCAAAGAGTTGTAAATTTTTCAGCACTCTGTTAAATAGAAAATCACCTTTCCCAGACCTCTGTCAAAGTTTAGCTGGGAAAAACCTACATTTCACTTTTTTAAGTTGTCCTTCCCCTCCATGAAAACCCCCTATTGTTTAAGTCAAATGCAAATTCACACAGGATCAATCAGATGATATTAAATCAATCAACCAAGAATTGTCTAATAGTGTTTTAACTTTATATATAATGCACCAGGTCAGAAGGAACATGAAACAATGGCAAGGTGACTTTGACTATGAAAAGAAAAGCAGGAACAAAGAAGTAAAATTGAATACAGATTTCTTACTGTAGATTAGAGGAATTAACTGAAGGACAAAGAATCCTGTGACATCTTGGAAACTGGCAAATTTATTCTGGCACTGTGTTAGTCTTTAAGAGACCAAAAGATTCTTCGTTGTTTTTGCTGCAAACTAGCTAGCAGACTGGCAACTGAAAAAGAAGCAGTCGATGTAACATGATGATATCATGAAATCCAATTCATGATTTCGTTCAGATGCATAGGAGGCATTGGCTTGACTCCAAAGGGACCCTATCAGCAGGAGATTTTCTGCACCCGCCAACACTTATCCCTGCCACACCAGGGAGCGCTGACCCCCCAGGGGGGCTTTTTGTCAAGGACAAGTGCGAAAGGAGGCACTGGGTCTTTGGATACAAGCCAGAGTTTATACATTCAACGTGCATCCCCCTTCCTTAGCTTACTGTACATTTCCTGTCCTTTTTTATCAGTTCCTTTTCATCCTGTCCTCATTTCAGAGGATGTTTTGCCCTAGGGATGCAAGCGAGCAAAAGTGTACCATGAAATGCCTGCTAAAAGCCTGAGGCTGTAAGAACAGCTGTAGACTAAAGATGGGATTCCTGATCCAATCAGGAATCTGTGTGGCAAGTCTAGCTTCCCAAGTACACCTTACAGATACTAATACTTGCTTGTCCTTTGAAGGTACATCCTTAGATATGCTAATAGATTGCCTGTCCTGAAAGGTCTTTCTGTATTGCGTCCACCTAAACCCCATTGAATCCTTTTCCCCCCAATGTGCCTCGAGCATATTGTGTGCAGTGATCCCCACCTGATTCCCCATTCCCCCTCCAAATTGTGTATGTAACGATAGTTATAAAAGCATCATGTTCAGATGGTAGCCCCTTCAGGGACTGCTAATGCCTCTCCTGTAAGTCTGAATTAACTATAAATGTTCTTTTGATTGTACACCCCCAGTGGTCTCTCTTTGAATGCGTTTTTCACTCCCGTCAACGACTTGGATTTTATATGCCCCTATGCAAAGTTTATGTTTATGCATATTCTTACAAATAAAACGAGAGACCTGCTCAAAACACCCCAGGGCTCTCAAATCAAGACGTCTAAGCCACTTTTCTTTATACTGTTTTGTAATAGTTCACGGTCTTTTGTCTGATGGATTCCTTTATTCTGAGATATTTTGTTTCATTTGTTGAAGGTATACCCCCTCTTTCATAAAAACTTGGGGTGCTTTATGGAGCCTGCTCATAGGCCATGAGGATCTTTGTTCTGGGGCTCATTTTTAGATGTATTTGAGAAACATAAAATGGTCCCACGATGTGTGATCCACAGTTTTAAAGATATGTTTTAAAGATATGTCGACTGTGCATTAAAGGACAAGTTCTGCTGTGCACAGACAATGCTTTACTTCACAATCTGCCTCTAGGCAGCAGCAAGAAGCGGCCAAGGCCCCTGAATTTGATCTTCAGCTACGCCACTGGCACAAAATGCCTGCTAGTGGTAGAAATATTGTAATACTTTGGGTGCAAATAAGAGAGACATTCTGTTAAGAAACATACATACAGAGGGTGGGAGAAAAAAACAGGCAGGTGTGGGAGGAACACACTTATACTAAACTTTTAACAACAGCCTCCTCCAAGCTGGTGCCCTCCAGATGTTTTGGTCTACTACTGTGTTGGAGAGCACCAGCTTGGGGAAGGGTCTTCTGTGCCCTCATTTCACAGTCACACCCACACAACAGTGCAACTCTGCACCTGCCCTGACCTTGCCTGGGAACTAGCTGTTCTTAACTCTGACTTCTGCATAGGCCTGTTGCTCTGTAAGTGTTCACACGCATGCATTTATGAGCATGCGTGCCGAGACAAGAGACATTCAAAAAGCGTCCGGACAGCGTCTGAGTGGGTTGGTGTAACTTAGTGTCCTGAAATAGTAGGGGGTTGGACCCAATGGCTTTCCAGTCCCTTCCACCTCTACAATCCTATGATTCTATGATTTGATGATCATCAGACACATGTTTGTTCATTTTAACAGGCAGAGGTGTTTGGAGGAAAGCTGGACCCTGAAACATAGCAACAGTAGCAAGTTATGTTGCCAAAATCTTAACCAGACATCCTCCACCAGGCAAAAACAGAGACAACTGGTGTTTGTGCAGTTCCTGCTCATAGGAATAAAAGAGCAGGCTCGCAGGATCCAGTCAAGGGCCAATCATCCTGTTTTCCAAGGTGGCCAGCTAGATACCTCTGGGAAGCCTTTGAGCCGGACATGAGGTCAAGAGCTCTCACCTGCCATTGTTTCCAAGCAATGGGATGGAGGTAGGATACAGCCATCATAACGAGTGTCCATTGACACCCATGTCCTCCATGAATTTGCCTAACAGCTTTCCAAGCAAGCCAGGTGGGCCACCATCACTACATTTTGTTCTGGGAATTCTACCATTTAACCTCATTCTTTGTGAAGACATACCAGAGTTCATTATTATGATTGTCATTCGCTACATTTTATCCCAGCTTTTTTTTTTCTTGCAAGGAACTCAAGTGGCTTACAAGCTTCTCCTCCTCCTAATTTTATACCCGCAGCAACAAATCTGTGAGGCATGGTAGACTGAGTCAGTGACTGGCCCAGAATCACCCAGTGAGCTTCATGGCCAAGTGGGGTATAGTACCTAGATCTCCCGAGACCCAGTTGTAGGACATACCTGGCTGGTCACATCCCAAGCATCACCAAAGTAAATTGGAGCATCCCTCATGGCCAGAGATTGAGCAGTCTCCCACCAAAAATCCCAGCCCAAGCTCCAGGTAGCCCAACCCCCCAGGTGAGCACAGGAATCACCTGTATTCAAATGTGCCAATCAGCACTCACAGTGGGAATTTCAACCCAATGGGCATCTGTCATCACAACCTGGTCAGCAGAGGTATACAAGGGAACTGCACCAAGCACTCCAGCTCCACAGCCATTTTGCTGTAATCAAACTTATTCTTAAGAATAATAAAACAAAGTTAGGCTCCTCTCAGTCTTACAATTCTTAATTGGGCAAAGTGTACCAGGTCCAGACCCCTGTGCCCTTCACAGTCTCACTCCTTTAACCAGTGCACAAAACTGCAGCAAATTTTAGGGCCTGTTAATTATTTTAATTCATCATTCTGCAAATCATTTTTCAAGCAAATTGAATAAACAGGCCTCCTTGTTTCCATGTAAAAGAATTTTTTCAGTAGGATGATATTGCATTAAAAATGCACATGCATTTGATATTCAAATTATGCTGCCATATTCTCACATTCTCACACCTCAAGGAAATGGGGAAATTTCACAAGAAAGCTTTATGCTTTGACAGCACCATGCGGCCATTACACAGGAAGAAGGTAGTAACAATTTCTGTTCGACAACATATGAATCCTTGCCAAGTTCTGCATGTGGATGATGACTAACCTTGAAAAACAGAAGCATTGTACAATGTGATGGAACATTTATCTGAGCAAGGAAACAGATTTCACTTTCCAGCTCCCGGGAGGCTATCATCTGAATAATCATTATTCTTTCATGAAAGTAAATACATTGAGCTTCTTCAGGTGAAAGCATTTATTGCAGTGCAAAACTCTTTAAAGGAGGATTAATGAAGGAGCTAATTAGTGGGCATGATCAAAAACTATCAGGTGGGTCCCTGGTTGGCTACAGAATCAGACGCAAGGAGTGCTTGTCAAAGGCACCTTCCCAAACTGAGGAGAGTTAACAAGTGGGGCACTTCAGGGTTTAGTCTTAGTCCCAGTGCTCTTCAACATTTTTATTAATGATTTGGATGAGGAAGTGCAAGGAATGATTATCAGATTTGCAAATGAAGCAAAATTGGGTGGGATGGCTATTAAGCAGAAGACAGAAACAAATTCAAAGTGATCTTGATAGGTTGGAGCGCTGGGCTGAGAACAACAGAATGAGCTTCTGTAGGGATAACTGCCAAGTTTTGCACCTAGGAAAAAGACAGCAAATGCATCATTACAAGATGG